AAAAAAAAAAAAAAGATGTTAAAATCTACTTATGAGATAGACGTTAAAACTGAATCTATTATTCACATCTGTTTTCACATCTGTTTTTCCCCCTACTTTGTTTTGGGCTCTCAGCACTGTTATAAAAAGAAATCAACTTAAACTTCACTTTATTCATTATGTGCATTCATTCTTCCACTATGTTAACTGAAGGCTTCTAATGGTGATCTGGACTGTCCAAAGAACATCTCTTACATTCTCAGGTGCTTTGAGGGAATACAAGATCCTCAGATCTAAGTATATTACATTTGTCATGTTCATTTTCTTCAAATTTTTAGGATTTGTTGAGATAAACCACTTAGGGTTACTGGTTCAGCCAAAAATAGCCTACGTTGTTAGGTCAGATGCTGGAGCATTCTGGCCTGCAAGACTCCTCATTCTGCTTGGGATCGAAAGGTTTGGAAAGAAAGGTGGGTCTGCACTGGCCTAACACCCACCTTCAGTACTTTGGCCTGAGAATAACTGCTACAGCCATCTACTCCACAGTGCAAGCGGGGGACGTCAAAATGGTCCAGTTTCAAGCAGTCTACACAGGGCTTCTTAAACCCTTTCCTAGTTTGAGTTTCTCTGATGATCCTGGGATTTGACCATAGTCCATTTCAGCGAAGCCACGTTTTGTGCTGGTGCTATATATCAGATCCCATATTTGTCTGTCTTCAAAAGTTCTGGTCAGTTAATGAAATTCTGTCTTTTCATTAGACCTGCTTCCCTTCCCCCTTTTTACTTATTTGTAAAAGTGGAGGAGACAAAGGTTTTTTCTTAGTTCTATCATTTTCATTTAATCTCCTTGCTAAGCATTGGCATTTATTTCAGTTATATTTAGTGATCAGCCTATGACCACTTAAACCCATCTGAACTGCTAGATAATACTAGATGGTGATTTTTATCTTTATTTCAGTTACATCTGTAAGGGTCCTAAGCCAAATACAAGGAAAATACTATGGAGCTCAGAGTTCTATCACCTGAGTTGAAGGTATTCACCTTGGAAAGGACCCTGAATGAGAAATTAGGTGTGTATATAAGTGTATAAAAACTATTAGCAATGACTTCAGCTAGGCAGAATCCATGATAGAATGCAGGTACCTAAAGTGGTAATGTATAAAAAATCTGTAGATAAAATACTTGCCAGAGATCATGTCACAAAATGTGAAAGGACAAAAAGGTGCCTCGATTTGCAGCAGCATGCATGTGTACATGTCAGCACTCATTTCTGTACGTACTCACTATGCACTGCAGATGTGGCTTCAACACCATGGAACTCCTTTTGCTGTGGGACATATTTTGACACATAAATAGGTAAACTCTTAGACCAAAAAGTCCCTTTCAATAAGCATCTAACAGCTTTAAGATAGGTTTTACTACAAGAAAGTTTAACACTTCAGAAACTATTGCTAAGGCACTAGCAAAGAAAATGGCACATTTTATTTTGGCTGACTGGAACTGGGGACTGAGCCCAGGAAATTCACATGGAGTAACTTTCCCACGTCTTTATTTTGAGACAGTCTCACTATGCCCCGAGTCTCCCAGAGTGCTTGGATTTCCCTTGTGTCACTATGCCTGAAAGAATCTCTCAGTCTTTGTTTTCCATAAAACTATTCAACATACTCTTTTAAAATTATTTATTTATTTATTTATTTATTTACTTGATACAGGGTCTCACCAAGCAGCTCAGACTCACAGTAATCCTCCTGACTCAGCCTCCCCAGTGCTGGGATTACATGTGTGCTCCATCACACCTGGTTCTGGGACCTGCACAGCATGTGGTGCTTGCCAGGCAGGCTCTTAGCCCATGAACTATCGCCTCAGCCCTCAACATGCTCAAGTGGGATGATGAGCAGGTCTTCAGGGAGTTGTTTCTGAATACAACTGCAACAAAACATTCAATGTTAAAAGATTACTTATATCTGGAATAGCTTAGCTAGTGGTCAAGTTTAGAACAAAGAGGAGTCTCAAATGAAGTAGCACATTTGTAAAAATGTCTTACCTTTAGCCAGGAATGGTGGCCCTCACCCGTAGTCCCATCACTGTGGGAGGCTGAGGCAGGAAGATCATGAAGTATGAGTCCTGCTTGGCAAATTTAATGACTTAGAAACATCCTGTCTCAAAACACCATCTATAAAATGACTGGAAAAGGATTAGGGATGCAGTACGGTGTGAAAGCCTTGGGTTCAATCCTGGTACTGCAAAAAGGAGGGATAAAGAATTTTATTTTTTTCTTAAAGAGAAATGGATTTTAAAAGTTTGAAAAATAATGCTTTAGGAATGGGTCTAGAACCTGAAGCTTCCATATGGCAATGAATTCTTTGTTCAAAAACTGACCTGCGAAAGTATTTTGAAAATCACAGCTTATATCTTACATTACAAAACCATAAATAAAATCCATCTGCTCTTTACTATATGTACTTTGGTTCATCTAGATATAATGGGACACTGGTTTAAAATTTAAGAAAAATTATGAATTTAGCTTTATTCAAAATTAAATAAGCAAAAGCAAAAATTTAAGAAACTTTTACAAATTACTTACATAAAAGAAAGTTAATAGAGACAGTCACAAGTTGGCAACAAATAATTACAAAAGTCCCTAGGGCAGCATGAAGATAAACCATGTCACAGCATGGTGATCTAACTGTGATATGAATAAGGCATAACTCACATTTGCACCAAGACCAGAATTAAAAACAAAACAAACTTTAAAAGCTTAGTTCTACAGTAAGCTTCTTCTCTTCCCTCGGTCCTTAATGGTTGTATCCTATGATGTAATTCTTAAACACATCATGTCAAGCTATAAGTTACATAGATGGGCAGTTAATGTGAAAAGCCCCTAAAATGTACAAACTAACTGGTACTGAATTGAGTCCTCCATTTACCTTTATGTACAATTACATGTAAACCATAATTTCACAGTTTTGAGTGTTTTATGAATAGATGCACAGTACCATGTCAGGTTTGCAATTGTTCCTGAAAACTGGCTCTAGGTTCTGCATCCAAAGCCTGCTGGCTGCTGGAATGCAGGTATTTACATAAATAAGGAACTGTGTCATAGTCAATGGTCAAGACAGTTCAGCAAGAGCAGAATTTCTAACAAAGATTGATACTTGGTACCATATTTTACATACCTGTGCAAATATAAGCATTAGGACAGAGAAATCTGAGGCAAATACAATTTGCAAAAACTTACATTGTTATTGTTGTAAACCAGGCAATAAATGACCCTCGGCAAGTTCTGCTCTCTATGGCTTTTTTTTTTTTTTTTTTTTTTTAATTTTAAAGCCAGAGAAAATGCACACATACTACCCAGACACGCATACATACATACACACACACACACACACACACACACACAGAGTACATACATACAGTTCTTAATTCATTTTAGTATATGGTACATAGTGCAACTTTATCACAATGTAGAGGTTCGACACACATTCACTGCGTGTTTTTCTGTGCAAGTTTTTAGTGGTCTAAGTCCTAGCTGAAGGTATTCATCTGCAGATCCACATGGTTCAGGAGGTTGAAGGAAAAAAGGTTCATTACATTTCTCAAACCAGCACTGGATGTGCAAAGGCAGCGGACAATCTGGCTGTAACAGCCAGATTAGAGTAACTTCAAAGTAAGATCTAAGCAGTTACTTATTTAGATTGGTCTCTAGAAAAATATGTCAATATATGCTGTATTTTTGTCAAACGTTCTTCCAAAGACTTCATTGACAACACCGACAGCTGATACCGAGGATCTACAGGGAGAACTGCAAGAAGCCACCAACACCATGCAGGTCCATTCGGAGTTGCCTAAAAATAATCAACAGTGGAATTGGTAGTATTAATAAAACAAGAATTGGGACAACAATAACACACAACTACAAAGCTACTATTTACTGAGCATTTTATATGTGCTGGTGCTATATCAAGTTCCTTCAATAATCATGTAGGATAGGCAACCATTATGTCCAAATAAATATGGAAACTGATACCTGGAAATGTACTGCAACTGTCCAGTACCTCTCAGCCCCTATGTGGCAGAGCCCACATTCCAGTCCAGATCTGACTCTGCGGCTACCATTCTTTCCTCTGTACTGCATTGCTGCAGAGCACGGCTTCTGAGCCTCCAGCTAAAGACATGTGGGGCCAGGTGTTTCTTTATGGGGTGAAGCTATCCTGTGCATTGTGGTACATTTAGCAGCAGCATCTCTAACCTTGATGCACTGGATGCCAGGCCCAATTGTGACAGCCTAAATGTCTCCAGATAATGTCAGATGTCCCATGGGAAGAAAACTGTTCCTTGTTAAATGTATATTTAAAGAGTTAGGAAAAGTTAACTGACACTTAAAATTTCTTTTAAAAAGATGAAATCCTAAAAATGACTTAAGAAAATTATCTTGGTTTCCACTTTACTTTAAAAAATGAACATATCTCCAGCAAAGAATTCCTTCTGAGGTTGAGGTTGCAAGAGCTGGCAAGTAACTACTGCAAGGACTAAGAATGTACATAAAATGATCTGTAACCGCCTCTCCAAATGGTCACTGAATTGTACACGAAACATGAAGTTTCAGAATGACCAAAGAATTTCAACAGTGATCTCAGTAAACTCCTTCTACAGCCAAAACCATTTGCATGTTATGGGTTCCCAAGTCAGCATTACAACTATCTTCTTTTACATTCTAGAAAGAGAGGAAAGAAATTGCATTTCCATGATCCCCTCCTCCATAAGGGTCCAGATCAGACTTGACCAATGAGACCTCTTGTGAGAATGCAGACCCCAAAAAGAGGTTAATATTCTCTGGAGACTGCTAAAGATTAAGACGGCAGCTTCCCAGAGAATTCTTAAAAGCCACTGTTCCACTGCTATAGGCTGGAACATACTGGTAGGGACTCCCTTGGTTCCTAAGAATTATAGCAGCTTCCGGTTATAGTTTGCGTCTAGATGTCTCCACAAAGCCTCATGTAGTCATAGGGGTTTTTTTGGAGGCATCTGAATCTAGAGGATATGACTGATTCACAGTGTGATGCTGGGATTAAAGCAGTGAGTGCTATACCCGCTCCAGGGCAATTGGTCTACATACAATATAAGGGACAGAAAGAATCTTGCCTTTTGTTTGTTGCTTCTGTTTCCTGCTGCCATGAAAGGCTGCCTCTCTGTCATGTGACACCTTGCCTTGTAGCCAGCCAATTAAGGACTGAAACCTCTACAAACTGGGAGATAAATAAACCTTTCCATCTTCACCCATGGGTGTTAGGTATTTTGTCTCAGCAATGAGGAATGCACTAAGAAAATTCCCCACAATTTCTTGAGAAGCAACCACTTTTCTGTTCCAGTGGCCAATGGTGACAACAGATTTCTTGATCTATGGATAGAGACAACCCTGATCTTTATTCCTCCAGGTTTCCAGCTGCCATATAAATACCATGTCTTACAGTAAAGCCTGCATTCTTGAAAGGTGTAAAATTAGCTGCTTTTGTTTTCCTAATTCCTGATATGATATCATATAGCAGAATGCACTGGCTCCAATGCAGAGGTAGATGAAATTGGTGAAGAGGACAGAAAAGTAGCGTTGAATTTTTCTGTAGTCCTTTGTAAGATTCAATATTTATTTATTTGATTTTGATGTGATTCACATCATAGGATGAAACACACTATGTAGCAATGGATAATGTGCTAAACAGAGAATGAATATTTCAATTTGGAGATGGCTTGATACTGAAATTTCAACTTCAAGTGGAGGACTCAGGATTGAGACAGACTTAGACCAACTGTTGAAAAACATCATCAGTGGCAGTGGGCACCACAGTGGAGCCTAGCATCACTCTGTTTTCATAGAATTATTTACAGCCAGCTCTTTGAGAATCTGTTTTCTTCTGATGACAAACAATCCAGTCTAACTCAAAATGCTTATGCTTAAAAGCTAATGCCTGGACAATCTGACAGTCAGAACTTGCAGGGAAGGAACCTTCTTTAAGCCTCCTGCAGTGACTACTACACAGATCTGCATAAACAGAAAATGCAGGGCCCAGGAGATAGCTCAGCAGTATAAGAGCCTGCCTGGCAAGCACAAAGTCCCAAGTTCAATCCCCAGTACAGAAAAAAAAGCAATTGACATTAACTAAATTAAGCTTAATTTAGTTAAGTACCTTAGCAAGACTTATGGGTTATGGTTTCATTAGTGGTTAAGAATTAAATGTGAACAGACAAAAATGGATTGAATCAACAGGTAAGATTCTTGGGGGAAAGGACAGGTAAGAAAAGATTTTTTAAAAGTATAAATAATGATACCTCTTAAATGTCAAACAGACAGCAATAGCTGATGGACCTGAAGACAGAGTTGTCTCATATTTAATTCTATATCCCTCACTCTGAATATATTCAGAAAAGAACCCTCTCCTGCTCTGGCATGCCTTCTAGTAGGCAGCTTAGCTGATAGCTATTTCCATCTTTTATCCATGTAAAATCTAATGGATACCGCCACTGTAGAGAATGCAGTCAGAAGTCTAAGAGGAGAAAGAGTGAAAGGAAATGCCATCAAAAAGGAAAATGAGGGGGCTGGGGAGTTAGCTCAGTGGAATAAGTGCTTGAATGGTAAACGCAAGGTCCTCAGTTCAATACCTGGTACCACCAAAAAAGAAAAAGAAAATGAAAAATAAATTTACAAAGCTATTAATTTGGTTTTACAAAAAAGGAAATAGTTTAAAAGCATTATCAAAACTATCATACCTGAAGGTTCTCCTCCCTCTCTGGCATTGATCCAAAGTGTTGAAGAATTTGGCTTCGAAATCTGTCTCTTAAATTCTGAAACCAGCTGCAGGCTTGAGAGTAAACCAAATCATGAAGTTCTCTGAGACACTTTACTTCATCTTCATTCTCAACCTAGAAGATAACACCTTATAAGAAATTTCTATCTAATCACCCTGTCCACATTACTAGCCTTTCAAAAATGCACAAATATCAGAAAACAGGAATATCCATTTCAGTGCTAGGTTATTAGACAGTATTATTTTTGTGCTACAATATATTTCAGCATCTCATAGTGCTAAGGATCAGAGACTACAGAAAGAGTGAGTCCGGGCCTCCACCTAATCTGCTCATTTGCAGTGCAATACCAGACTCTACTAAAGCCCCCAAGAGGGAGGAGAAAGGCTGAGAGTGAGCTTTGGCTCAAAGGTCTATACAAACTTGGAAATCTTTTGTTTTCTAAAAACACTAAAACATGAAAGTGGCAGAAGACACCTGCTACAATAAAAGGAAAAATTGGGGAGGCAGGGTGCAAAGCACAAAGCAGAGAGTAGTAACAGGAGGTCTGATACACACCTGTTTTACCAAAGAACTGGGTCAAAACAAAGTGAAGACAACTAATTGGCATATAAAGCTGGTAAACTGAAAGAAAACCACTGACTTCTCCAACTGTAAAGACTCAAGCCTGTGGGTTCCTCCACAACTTTGCACACACCCTTTAGACTATTAGGGACCAAACTGCAATTGCAAAGACTAACTGCATGGTCTTCTGGTCTCAGATTCAAACGAGCAGTCTCACAGAACACAGGCGAAAGATCTAAGTTAACGCATTCATTTTCTATTGATTCCTTTAAAACACACTAAATCTCCCACTTGCTGCATGCTGAGAAGTGCTCCATGTGGTATATATTAATTCATCTGAAGAAAATAGTAGGCTGACTCAGCCTTTCCTACTTCAAGGATGACTAATATAGAACAACAAAGATTAGAAATATAGACAGTAAAGTTAAAGTACACGATATACAAAAGAACATATTTTACTTGTGAAAAAACTGAAAAATTTAAACTATACTTTAAAAAAAAATTTACATTGTGTATAATGTGAATGTATTTAATGCCACTGAACACTTTAAATGGTTAAAATAGTAAATTTCCTGTATGTACTGTTTTTCTACAAAAAATAGAAGGGAAAATAAAAGGAAAGAAGGTAGGGGACCATAAAACGAAAACATTATGGCCTCAGAATGATTGTTCTGCTAGATAAAGCAGTCAGCTAATATACATGGGACTTGATATGAGAAAGAACTAAAGGACCTGCAACATAGGACTAAGCGCCTGCTTAGGCAAACACAGGAACCACGGTTCGATCCCAAGCACCACATGCTGTGCTGGCCCATGCCAGGGCCGAGACTGGATGCAATGGTACACGCCTGTAATCCCAGCCCTGGGAAGGCTGAAAACAGGAGGCTGAGCTGTGTAGTGAGACCAAATACATAAAAAAAGAAAACAAAGAACTAAACTTGTAAGTTGCTAAATCACTTTCTCTCTCTCTCTCTCTCTCTCTCTCTCTCTCTCTCTCTCTCTCTCACACACACACACACACACACACACACACTAACAATCACAAACAAAAAATACCACCTTTACATTCTCACAAAATTCAAGGATTGGTAAGAATTGATTCTGAGCTGGATATGGGCAACATCCAGAAAGCATACAGAAAATTTAAAAGGAAGCCTTTAAAGTTAACACTATTACTGTCATAATATTAAAAAAATTTCATATTGGAAGTCACAGAAAAGTGCTACAAAAAAAGAAAAAAAAAATAGGTGTAAAAAAGCAAATTTGCAAAGCTTTTCCAGGATGGACAAGAAAATCATTTAATAGATGACAATGTTTAGAGAAGAAAAAATTAGACACTTTTAAGACCACATACATAATACAGAACTCAATTTTCTAAATATCAAATAAATGTTCTAAACAGGTTTTAACATGCTCCTCTATTGTATGTTTTGTGTGTTTTCCTACACCACAGACTCAAGGAACTTTTGCCCATCAAATCCAATGAAATTGTAAATTGGATAAAACTAAAATTTGCCTTGGGTAGATCATACTATTTACCAAGCAAATGTAAAACACAAACTCTATCAACTCAAAATCTCAGCCACATAGGTTTTTGGCCTATTACCCAGAGCAAAGTATCTTCTGGCCTGTACAATATGACAAGACAGACAGTATCAGACCCAGTTCATCACAGAGGTAAGACAGTGTCACAATAAAGTGCAGAACTTGGTGTCAGAGTGTTGCTTTCAATCATTTTAATACACAGGCTTGGGAAAATTAACATCTCTGAATCATATTTTTTCATATTCTATTTCACATAATTGTGAAAATTCAAGGCAATAATGTTTGTGAAAATGTCTTATACTGACACTGAATAAATGGTAACTGAAATAAAGGGCTTAACTAGATGGGTGGCAATCTGTAAGATCTCTAGTGCAATATCTATGATTACAGAAAGTATAAAACAGTATAATCTATGATTACAGATAGTATCAGATCTGATTTTATTATGCCTTTCCACCCAAAAACTGTCTTCAATTTGACATTTACAACATCATCACAAGCCATTTCCTAGCACTCCTACTAATTATCATTGATAAATTAGGTCCTAGAAATATAAAAAGAAACACATTAACCCTGTCAAAGAAACACATAACCCTACCAAGGTAAAATATCAGCAGTATGTATACTAACAGTGGCTTAGCTGTAATGCCTTAGGATTTTAACACAGTGTCTAACTCAATTTATTTTTAACTAATATATCTCTGGTATAGGAACAATCAATGTATAAAACAATTCCTAAAGGCCTTTATGTGTTTACATCAAAGTTTAATCTAATTATGCCAGATTTCATATTAATGAGCTCAATGACACAAGGCAGGGATTAGCAATCCTGTAAAATTCTTGTTAAGTAACTACCATGCATATAACACAAGCATAGGGACACAGAATGCAACCTAGGTACTGTACTGATTGGTAAACATGCAGAAACAGAGAGGATGTCAGATTTAGTCTCCCCAGGTTCTCCTGAGTGTACGATGCAAAAGCAAGATAAGAAAACTAAGTGGGAGATAATGCACATAAGTAGCAGTGATGAGGGTCTTTGACAAGAAATGGTTCATACGCTTGAATATAGCAGCCTATATGCTTGCAGGATTCCCAGCACAAAGTAGAGTATGTGAGGAGAGAAGAACTTTACATACCTTAACATCTTCCAGATATTCAATGTCTGCAGTACAATATCCATCTTTCATTCCCCTTTTTAAAACCCTAAACCGTTTTCCTCCGACTGTATCAACTACAGATCTTCCATCAGGTAAAAAATGAACATTTCTAATTTGTAACATACAACCATAATCTGCAAAGCTAAAAGAAAAACTCTTGATTAAGATCAAAGTTCAAATATACAAACGCAAGTTTTATCCATTCTTAGAAAATTCCCAGGTACATATAAATATCTAAGTTCACAAAAATCATACCTATTTTGTGTATCACTAACACACATCCCAAACTGCTTCGTTCCAGTCTGTATACTTCTTCGAATCATCAACCTGTATCTTGGCTCAAATACATGAAGAGGGCAAGGCACAGTGGGATAGGCCATAGTGCAAACAAATATTGGAACATTCTTGGTCAAGCTGAAGGAAAAGAAGTTTTATTATTATAGGACAAGACATAAAAACAAATCACTTCTCCTGTGATTTTAATGTTCTGGCAAGAACAAGAATCAGCATCCCTTTCAGTAAATTCCTGTTGATATATATAGTATTAATTCTAAAAATTCATGATCCTCTTATTTGTAAGTTTGAATTTTGAGGTATCAGTTTATTAAGCTAGTACTGTGTATTCAAAGTCAATTTAAAATATTTTTAAATACTGGACAAAGTTAATAGATTTTATTACTTTTTTTTTATTTTTGGTGGTACTAGGGATTGAACTCAGGACCGTGCGCTTGCTAGGCTATCCTATTCCACTGGGCTATCCCCCAGCTTTCCAGTTAAAAGGATTTTATGCACAAAAATCTTATAGTTACTCTCAGATGACAATAAGAAAAAAATGAACTCCTATATAGACAATTTTTAAAAATCTTTTGAGATAGGGTTTCACTACACAGTTTAGGCTGCCTTCAACTTGTGGCCCAGGTTGCCCTTGAACTTGCAGTAATCCTCTTGCCTCAGTCTCCCAAGAGCTAGGATTATAGGCCTGTGCCACCATGCCCAGCCTAAAAATTCTTAAGTTTTAAGATTTTTCAGACTGTCAAAAAAACATAATTGAAGGGCCAGTGAGATAGCTCAGTGGACTAAGCTCCTGCTTAGGCAAGTGCGGGGACTAGGGTTCAATTCCCAGCACCACATGCCTTGCTGGCCCCACTCCCAAGTGTGCAGAGCCCCGAGACCAGGTGTGGTAGCACATGCCTATAATCTCAGTACTGGGGAGGTTGAAAGCAGGAGGAGTCCCAGCTGGGTAGTGAGACTATATATATATATATATATATTTGAAAACAAAGAGATGAGTAAAGTATGCTGTACCCCTAAAACAGAGTATCATGTTTTCCACTAAATGGTGATGTATATGGCACTAATTTAAAAATAACAATATTATGAAAGAAATAATTTTATTAATCAGAAGGCTATAGAACAAAACATGTAATATGCTCCCACATTGTTTAAAATATATTTTATATATAGTATTAAGGCTGGAACATATGCCAAAATACCAGTGGTGATTCCTTTTACACAAGATAGCCTTTCTTCTGCTAGCTTTTTAGTTTTAAAATTACTATGACAGTTATGCAAACATAGTACTTAATAAAACACTTAAAATATGTGCCAACAACAGTTCACCCAGAAGCCGCAGGTTATCCCCCGTCTCTCCACCACATTCAGCTCTGCCTGGCCCTTCTACTCTGCTGTGGGCTTTCTGGTTCTATTCCTGTGCTTAAGACTTCAGAGGTCTAAGAACAGCTTTTTAAATCTCACTTTTCATGACTGATCAAAAAGGCTCAGAGTCCTCACATTTGAATAGTTTCTATCAGAAAGCTCACACACTGAAATATCAGTTCCATAGACAGTCACACTACTATCAATTCCGTCAACAAAAGACTGGGCAGCTTTCTCCTATTGAAGGTCCCTGGCCTCCTGCAGACATCTGATGGGCACACACTGGGAAAGAAAAGTCTAAGGGCACAACTGATTATTTATAACCAAGTATGACATAGAAAAATGCTCAATTTATGTTTTGAAAAATAATGGAAACAAAAAGTTAAATAAGAATAGCACATGATTTCAAAATACTGTCCTATACTGTGTTTGGTTAAAAGATAGTGAAAGAAACAGTGTTAATAAGTTAAAAACCTGTGAAATAAATTCAGACACCCGTGTGACTGGTACCTGGGGGAAAGACATTAATGGAAAAGGTGAGAAAATTCCAAGAGAAAAATGTAGAAGGCAAGAAAAGCCCAAGTCCAATGCACCCAGCTCCCCTCAGGCGTCTGTCCCGCTAGAGTGGCATGTACTACTAAGTCCCACAGTACCCTCTGACTGTTTCATTCATGTTACACTAACTTAGTTCTGCTGCCAGTCAGCACCTTTACTGAGGATTTGACCCTAGTCACTGCTCTAAATTCAGTCTTTGCTCCCCACTTTCAAACCTCTATTTGGCTGAAAAAACTCCTGCTAACTAGGTCCATTTACTCTCAACCTTCTCTCTCTTCTGTCATAATACATGACAGCTGCTGTCATCACCTGTGTTACTGTTACCTGCTCCCTTCTCTACCCCATTCCACTGCCTGATGTCACTGCAGAAGTTCCTGCCCTAGCTCAAAAACTGTCAGTTCAACCAGCTGAACAACTGGATGCTACCAAATGGACTCTTAAAAAAATTGTCTGCCAAGGACAAGGGGAGCTAACCAATTGTTTTAAAATATGTCTTTGCTAGATTAGTTGAACTAAAGACAGGACCCAGCTTACTGTGGGAAGGTTTCTCTTCACTATTTTCAGGGGATGTAGTTCACAGTTTAAATTAATTTTTATGAGAAGAAACTTACTGTGAGAGTTCAGCAGTTTCTTCATCATATATTTTTTTTCTCTCAGACAGTTCATCAGGCAGATACTTCACTATTAATTCTTCCAACAGCTGTGTGACACAGTACCTCCTATCTGCTAGATACTAAAAAACAATATTATTTTACATTCCAGTAGTAGTTTTTCCTACAGTATAAAACAGCCAAAACAGTTTAACTGATATATGAAAGCCTTTATTTCATACTTACACAGTCGATTCTGAGTAAGTTTAATTACTGAGGGGGAACATTAGAATGATGATACTATTCAAGTCAGTCTGTCTGAGGTTTTGCTCAAGAGCATAAAAGATAGGTGCAACTTGAACCAAGCACTGTAGATGAAAATATATCCTGCTATAATCAAAATTCCTTTTTCAGTAGGCAGCCCTGCCCCTGCCATCTCCCACAACAAAGGCCATTTCCACCTGACATGTCCTGATACTGAAACTATCATTCTAACTAAGAAACAAAAAGAAGGCAAAGATGAAGAAAATAATGCACTTTCTTGATTTAAGAAAAGCAGAACAATTGTTTTGGTCCACATTTTTGGAGGCAACTCTCTAAACAAGTTTTCCTTTCACTGCCACTTACTAGCACTTAGTCCCACAAAGATACTGCTTTTCCTTTATGATCCCCACCCCCTACAAAAACGCTACACTTGTGCTATTCCTGAAGTATTCTTAAAAACTGTCATCCTGTGTTTCTATGCTAGTCTCTATTTTAGCAGATAAAAGTTATGTATCTCACTCCTGCCTATAAAAAGTCTCAAGGTCTGGCTCCAATTTTACTTTTCAAGATGAAGCCTTCCCCAGTTGTTGCTCTGTCACACTAAGACCTCACATTCTATTGCCTTTACCAGGTGAAAGGCACTTCCCATCTCTGTACTGTTAATACATGAATATGAGTAACTAGATCTCTGTAGTTAAACTAGAAATTGCTTAGGACCAGGTCAGAGTGAATGCACAAAAAAAAGTCCAACATGTATTTATTAAAAACAAGTAGTGAGGAAAAACTCTTGGGAGATAATTACAAGACAAAGAGAAGCCATCTATTAACCTGTAGATCAACAATAAGAGTTCTGTCAATATCCAATGCAGAATAGCCCAGGAAACGTAAGAGTTTGAGCAAGTGGTTAAAAAGCAGTTTTCAAACCTGAGAAGAGTCACTGTGTGCCACAGTACAGACTGCTGAATGCCACCCCAGCAGCTCTGAGGTAGTGGACCTGGAGTGGGGTCTGAGAATTTTGTACTTCTAACAAATGCTACTAGTGAGGGAATATATTTTAAAAATCATCAGGCTATACAGATTTGAGATATGTACTCTTTAGAATAGTATACAGAGTATACACAGGAAAGTTAAAAGATTAATCAAATTACAGACATTACAAAGGCAGTCCTCCAATGATTTTCTATTAAACAGTTGGAAATTTAATGCCTATACAATTAAAATTAGGGAAATAGGACTTCTTTTACACTATTGACAGCAGTCTAAATCTGTGTAACATTTTAGGATTGAGCATACGTAAAAGCATTGCCAATCTGACAACTGAATTTAAGAGATTTATATATAGCCTCTGATCTAGTAATTTATCTCCCAAGAACTTAACCAAAGGAAACAGTAAAAGACAATACAGCCATTAATTTGAAATGACCACGAAAGCATCAAAAATGAATAGTATATATATAAAACAATAGGGAAATGTTAAATCACTGTACCATTATGCTGCTGTAGAAAATATTTAAAAGGAAAAAGTGAATAAAATAAAATGACAAGTAGGAAAAATGTAAAACTACAGAGCATACCAATATTATTTTCAAATGCATATTATAAATATTTAGAATTTACAATTGATGTTTCAAAATACACATAAGATAGCATTTTTAAATAGTAAATTTTCAAATAATATACTTAATGTATTTTTCTTCAAACTCTAAACATTTTTAAGAATAAAAATGAAGGCAATAAAGTTGATTTGAACAACAAAAAAGCATCATTACACTTGAGAGTACCCAGAAAGACTGGAAACATAGCATGTTCAGAGTACATGATCTGCAAGCAAAAAACATTAGCTGAGAAAGTGATCATCAAACTCTTTAATAATAGCTATTTTCTGACTGCAAACATTTTGTATGTGCTTTTGTTGCACATAGCACATTGATGTGTATGTATGACACATGCCAAATATAACAATACCCCTAAGCTCTCTATAGAGTTGTACTCTCTCTATAAAAAGTAACTCTCTATAAAATGGCTTTATTAGTCTTGTATTCTACTTGGATGACCCTTCTTTCTGTTAAACAATCTGGATCCATCACACAGACAGAATCACTTTCCCCTTCGGTGCTTCCACTGCAGCTGCCACTCAGCATTGCAGGGGTTGTCAGGACCCTGGCTGATCTCCATGCACTCAAGCATGAGTGGAAAAGATGCTGTCCTCCCTCAGGAACAGGAGGTGCCACTGAGACCTAGTGATTTCTCTGTCAAAGGTTATTACTGCCGATTGCTTACTGCAAGAAGGGCCTCTTCTAGGGCTAGCCAGATAACTCAGCAGATTAAAGTGCCTGCTTAAGCAGACACAGGGACCAGGGTTTGATCCCAGGCTTGCTATGCCAGCCCAGCCTGCAGGGCACACTAAGCTGGGACTGAAACTGGGTGTGGTGGTGTGTGCTTGCAATCCCAGTGCTTGGGAGGCTGAAAACAGGAGGATAACTACGAATCTAACCTGTGTGGTGAGACCCTGTAGACCCTATACTAAATATAGGTTTAAAATTTAAAAAACGGGGGCCAGGGAGATGGCTCAGTGGAATAAGCACTTCCCTGGCAAGCACAAGGGTCTGAGTTCAATCCCTGGTTCTGCCAAAAATAAATAAATAAAATTAAAAAAAGAAAGAAAGAAAAAGAAGAAAGGTCTCTTCTCTTCCTGTCGACCTACCACTTCCAGGGTTGTCCTATCCAGTGTGGAAGCCACTAGGTGTCTGTGCCTAGTTCAATTTAAAGGAAGTGAAATGAAAGCCAGTTTCTCAGTAACATTAGCCTAGCCACAATTCAAAGACTTGACTGTCATACACAATGGCTACCATATTAGAGAACAGAGATAAAGCATCTCCATCAGTGCAGGAAGTTCTACTGAATGAACAGTGTTATAGATGCTAGAGAAGCTGGAAGCGGCCTCAACTCAGACCCAGTACTGTGAGCTAGAGGCACTGAGGGATTTCCCCAACACTTCAACGTGAAAATAGAAGCTACTCCTCAGGCAACAGAGCATACCCTTCTTGTTAAAAAATTAGGTACAAAGGGGTTCGGTCTTTAGTACTTATCTTTTTTTCCCTATTTTCTCAATTTCACTTTTTTTCAGCATTGACCTATAGATAAAATATCAACCTGCATAATTTAACTCATTCTGAACATGATAATTATTACTTCTATGACTGAAAAGAAATCATGTTGACAAACTTAAAACCAACAGATACCAATACAATATTTACCTCTTTTAAGCTTTCTTTGCAAAGAGGACAATACGGTGCATGATCTAAACAGCGCTCAAGACAATTCTTACAGAATGAATGTCCACAAGGGGTTGTCACTGGCTCAAAAAACAATCTGAAATTAATCAAAATACTTGTTAGTTTTCAAATTAAACCATCTACTGGAAAAGCTTTGACTAGTAATGGAACCATGACCCTAATTTCTACTTGGTGGAGGAAGAGGACGGCTGGAGGGAAGCAGAGATGGGAAGGGGCACTGCCAAGAATACAAAACTCTCTTGAACCCTTTCAGAGTTCTCAGTCAACAAAGGTATCCAGCCCAGGGCCTAGAATTGCACTGATTATCGTAACAGCCACTGGGTATATGTGCCTACTAAGCACTTGAAATGCAGCAAACTGAGACATGCAGCAAGGGTTAAAAAACACCAAATTTCAAGAACTTAGTGCAAAATAAATAATGTGAAGTATGTCATTAATAATTAGTTTACACTTAGCTGCCAGACTACCACTTTATCAACTTGATCCTTTTAACAGGAATATAAAAGCCTTACTATAATAAAATTCATAAAAAGAATAATCTTATTACTACTACTGAACCCTAAAAGAACTATTAGGCTTAATAATAGATATAATATTCAAGGCAGAAAAACTGATTTTATTAACTTTCTAATTATTTCCTGGAACATGGCACTTCTGCATTCCCTAGAAACATTAGATTTATAGGTACTTGATAAATCATCTGGCCTAATCCCCTTACTTCAAGGATTAAACCAAGGTTGAAAATTAAAAGACTTGACCAGGAATACAGCCAGCTACCCCAGCCTAACTTTGACCAACCCCAGACCTCCTAACTCTTTAAGAATTCTTAAACCTACCTTAACTTATGTAAATGAAAACTGTCAATATTTTAGAATCACAGGTATTCTACATAATGGAAAGCCTTATCCAATGATATTGTAACAGGTTTATGATTAGTATATATGCTGCCGAACTGAGCACAGAAAAAGGTTTATGATTAATATAAAAAAGACAGACATAAAAAAGACACATAAAATACTCAGAATTCTTACCCAAATCTAAAACCACAGATACAACTAAGTTTTAATAATAATATCTGTAACTTTGGCAGCATTTTCCAACTCCCTAGATTTTATTTATTTTATAAGCCACAGGAGTCTCACAACACAGTAAAACAGGCTATGCACATATTAGCCCTATTTTCTAGACAAGAAAAATTGAGGTTCAGAGATTGACATTTTCTAAGGTGGTAGAACATAAAACTAGAATCCACATTAGTACTTTTGTTATTTAGGCCAGTATACTGTTACTTTACATTGCCTATTATCTGTGCTATTATATTTACATTATATTTAAAAATGTTTACTTTCTATAAAATGTTATATGCTTACCTCATGCACAGCGAACATTCAAAGTCTGATACATCTATTAATTCTTCTGGGACATCGCCATAAGCAAATGAAAACATACAGACTTCACTGGGATTTTCTATTCAAACGAACACAGAAAGGGGTTTCTTCTTTAGGAAAAAGTTCAAAAGCCACCCTGTATAAATGAATTTATATTATACAAGAGTAAAATACAATTTTTTTTTTACCTCCTTGTTTTTTAAGCTTATTTCTTCCATCTTCATTCACAATCACATCTTGCTCTAAGAGAGACAACTTTCTTTTCAGCAGAACACCTTTATCCTGAGCAGAGAGTAAAGGCTCCGAGGACACCCTTTTTAAGCAGTCCTCTCTGACAGGACCTTCTGTGGAACTGATAGCCTGTGTGGACTGAGCACGGTTCAAGCTTCCTTTAACAGCCTCTGAAGGCTCCTCTGGTACCTCTTCAGTCTACAGAAATACAAAAAACAAACACAAGCCTGGTTTTTACTATTCTTTATTCCTCTCACCAAGAATCAAACTGAAATAAAATGCCAGCATCTCATAATATTCATGTTTAATGTTCATTTTACAGTATTCACTTTTAATTTCAAAACTCTGTTTCTTTGCCCGTACATACAGTACACTGGATATCAAGCTGATCTATGTAATAATAAACATTAAAATAACCATGCTACTATAGTTGTTCACACACTGAATAAACTAAAATAAATATGTTCTATGTATTCTAAGTGACTAAACATTTAAGTGACATAACACTGTCATTAATAAGCAAATATTTTACATAAAGCATTTTGGCATAAATGACGGACTACAGACAAATCCTTTTAAGACAACCAGACAGGGAATAAGCACTTAAATAGGTCCTAATGGTTGGAATTAGAAAAGTAAAGATCTTAATTTGTAAAGACATAGATGTTCCAAAATCATGATGACCTCATCTCGCCCCTTACCTGCTTTAAGCTAAGCTCACTGGGAGAGTGGCACTCAACCATTATTGATGGAAAACCAAAAGGTTTGCTTTTAATGCAGGGTAACGGACTGCAAGAGGATTCCTTTAGGCCTTCTTTTAAGTGTTCAGGTGATAATAAATCACATAAAATCTGTAGAAGTATAAAAATAATGAAAGATACATAGTATGTGGTCAAGAATACAATTTAAATGTACCCAATATTTAGGAAATTTTAGAAAACCTGTAGCAAAAATTATTTTTGACTAGCAGCAGAGAAACAAAATAAAGTCTTATGAAACCAACATGGGCCATGACAGGAGGGGTCAAGTCATACCATAACAAAAAATAATTAAATAAATAAAAATTCAATTTTTTTTTTTTTTTTTTTTTTTTTTGCGGAACCGGGGATTGAACTCAGATCCTTGCGTTTGCCAGTCAAGCGCTTATCCTACTGAGCCATCTCCCTGGCCCCCAAAAATTCAAATTTTGAGAGATATGGAGTGACCTGAGAAGGTATCAAAGATAGTCTCACTTTTTAACATAAAAGTTGTAGAGATGAGTTTTTTGTAGAAAATATGTACTTCTAAATATTTCTGATCCCTATCCTGTCAAAACTGTTATTGTTCACACCAGTATCTATTTTCAGATTGGACTAAAGTGTTGCAAAGTTTATATGAATGAAAGAACTTAGATATTGAACTACAAATTCTAAAATTTTCTGTATTTACACTAAATTTAGGGCTGGGGAGATAGCTCAGTGCAATAAGTGCTTGCCTGGCAAGCACAAGGACCTCAGTTCAATCCCCGGTTCCGCAAAAAAAAAAAAAAAAAGACAGACATACATCAAATTTACTTCATCACTGACCAACTAACCTGATGGCAGCACTTGATAAGCAGCACTTAATAGCACCTTCCCTATAATAGCCAGGAATTTAACAGAGACAGTCAGAAATCAAAACTTTATGCACTTATGTAAGAAATCTATCTAAAATTCCCAAAGAAACTAAAAGGAAAGCTGGGCACGGAAGTGTACACCTGAATCCCAGCATGTGGAACACTGAGACAGGAGAGTCACTGAGAGCTCAAGGCTGGTCTGAGCTCTATAGTGAGACCCTGTCTTGCAAAACAAGTAAGAGAGATTTGATTTTTTTTCCTCCAGGCAGCCAATAAGCTGCACTTTAGGTGTACATCAGAACATTTCTTTTTTTTTTTTTTTAAATGTATTTAGTATAAGGTCTACAGGGTCTCACTACACAGCTTGGACTCCTAATGATCCTCCTATTTTCAGCCTCCCAAGCACTGGGATTATAGGCACATACCATCATGCCCAGTACCAGCACACCCTGGGGGCAGGCCAGCATGACACATGGTACCAGGGAGTGAACCCTGGTCCCTGTGTCTGGCTAAGCATTAGCTTTAGTCCACTGAGCTATGTGGCTGGCCCCAGAACATTTCTGAAAGTCCGTATTTGGAGATTCAGTTTTTCAGCTCTATCTTCTCTCCAATACACAGAAATTAGAGTAATTTACAAAATAGTACATGAAAATATAAACAGTATAAATAAAAATATGCAACCTTAGTAAATGCTCAAGCAATATTCCACCGAATAAACATTTAGGGCCCGGAATGTAGCTCAGTGGTAAAACACCTGGTGTATGTGAGGCTGGATCCTTAGTATCACAAAAGATAAAAGATAGGAATAAAGTAATACTTAAAAGCTGCAGGCCTTCTTACATTTCCTCTGGTGTATAAATGTATTAAACATGCACTAGCCCTAGAATACAGCAACTCCACTCCTAAGTATTTGGCAAATAGGTGTAAAAATACATGGTTATGAAATGACTTGTACAAGAATATATATAGTAGCCTCATTCATTGCAATAAAAAAACAAAAAAATACTGAAAACAATCCAAATGAAAGTCACTACTACTGAATACTGTAAAATGATGTGTGATTTAACAGACTCATCAGTTACAGAAAAAATTTTCTAGCTGTATCACAAAACAGTAAACTGAGATAAAAAGAAAGCCAAATGATACATTGTATTATTCCATCCATATAAAATGTTAGAATAAGTCAAACTTCCTATAGTGACAGAAATCTGAATAAGATAATAGGAAGCTCAACAGTAACACAGAATGGAGCATGTACTGGTAAAATGAAGGGGTTTTCTAGAGTGGTAGAAACATTCCCTATTTTGATAGGGTGCTGTCACATTGCTATATACATTTCTCAAAATGCATATATAAACTTTTGCTAAACTGTAAAATACATGTTTTGTTTTTATGTATTTAGTACAGGGTCTACAAGGTCTCATTACACAGATCAGACTCATAGTGATCCTCCTGTTTTCAGCCTGCACTGGGATTACAAGTGTGCGCCACCAAACCAAGTGTGAAAAAACTTAATTTAACCTAGTTTAACTAGTATTTCCTCTGAAGTCATCCTTTCTCTTCTCTTCTTTCCTCCTCTTTTTAAAGTAGCTACTAACATACCACACAAAGAACTACGGAAAGTTATACATGGAGTACTGAGAAAAGTGAGGCAAAACAAGAGGACTGAGGCAATATTATTCACAATCATTGAGAGTAAGCAGTTTAGAGCTGAAGCAAAAGGCAATCAGGTCGGTAAAGATTCCTGAACAGGAGCATCATGCCAGCAATGTTTAAGTTGGGTTCCCTTTTTCTGAAATGCTTGGGGCCAGAAGTGTTTTTTGTTGTTCTTTGTTTCTACAGATATCTGCATGAATATAATGAGATGTCTTAGGGATAGCACCCAGGTTTACGTACAACATTCATTCCATGTATACCTTACACACATATTAGGTTTTGATTATAACCGGTCACAAGAGCTTGGGGGAAATCTTCTATTTCTGGCACTCAGAAAGTTTTAGACTTTACAGCATCTCAATTTCCAAATTAGGATGGTTAGCCTGTATTAGGAATTATCTAAATTAACCAAAAATACTGAGGATATTCAATGTGTATTAGAGGACATCTAAATGAAGCAAAATAAAGTATCTGTGAGTGAAATGTTTTGATTTCATTCAGAATTCAATATACTAAGTTTATGGATCAGAAAATCACTTGTCAAATTAACATAGGGACAGATGGTAATCACTGAGGGCAGAGGAACCCAGCTAAAGTAGAGGACATTCACCAACCTACTTCTACCCAGAAATCTCCCACTAGCCAACCTCCTGATTCTGCTCCTGTGGCTGAAAAAACCAAAATGCCCAGAGCAGGGAAAGATCTCAGATATGGGTAGACACAGTTTAGCACTAGAGTGGCCTCAGATAAGAAGAGTCCAAGGCAATTAAGCCTTCATGTTCTGGGACTGCATTGAATTAAGCGAATCTAATTAAAAACAGTGGCATTATGCAAAGAAACATGAACAGAACCCCAAATGTCATCTAAGAAAGCTGCCCATTTCTCTCTCCACAGGGCTCAAGATCACACCACAGAGGGAGAAGCAAATGAGAGATCACTGGAAAACCACACTGCCCTAAGAGCCCATTGGCTTAGCCTTTTTTTTCCATTGGTACAGACTCCCTAGGCCTACATTTGCTTTCAATAAACTTCTACTATCACAATCTAACTTTAATTCCTTATTGGCAACACAAAGAACCTACCCCTAGACAATAAAAAAATTGTTCTTCAATTGCTTACTACTTACATTCCTTTCTAAACTGTCTTCAGCACTTGTGAAAAAGACCCAGGTCTTACCCTTGCCTTTGAACTATTACAGCTGGTAAAAAATCTATTACCTTTTCTACTTGTAGCTTTGCAGGTGCAAAATCCTCATCAAGGGCTAAGCACTGAAGAAAGAGTTGTAAGGCATCACCTAAAAAGCCAGCATCCTGGAGAACTTTCCCTTTCTTGAAGTAGACCTTCAACAAAAGCACACACATAAAACCTTTAGAAGCAGAACTGCATTAAGACAATCATGTTCAAGTAAGGGGAAAAAAGTGCTCAATAGTGTTGATTCTGAAACCAAATGACACCAAAGCCAAAGCAATTTAGAGCTTTATCTACACACTGCCCTGAAAAAGCACTAATGAATCCCTTGGGAGCGTGAGAACCAGAAAATGGCCTGATCAAAGTTCCCAGCAAGTTAGAACCTGTCAAGACCATAAATACCACGTTTCTCCACTTCTCAACTTCTTATAAATTGGAAGAAAAAGAGGAAATAATATGCAAAATTATACTGACTTCAGACTGTATTAATTAGGATTAAAATATGAAAATGATATTCACTATAGTATCAGGACTTTATGGTAAATATACTTCACATCATTAAGGAATGTATCTTTGGCAAAATATTCTTCAAGAAAATACTATTGACATAAGGTTTCTTATAAACCCTTTTCTCTCCTCATACGAGTTCAGCAAGCTCTGTGAGAAAAACTAGAACCTCACTAATTGTGTATAAATAAAAAATTCACTGTGTGGGTCAGTCCAACACAGTATCAACTGGTAGGCTTTAAACAGAGCTCCCTTATGTGATTAGAGTGAAAGAAGTTTTATAATGCACAGTTATCAGTATTAAAAACCATCAGAAGAATCTAAAGAATGTTCAAGTCAAATACTTTCTTTAGCTATCTTTGAAATGGCTGGGCCTACATTTCTAATTATACCACTTCAGTAGTAAGTTAAGAGGATTCTTTCCCTTTCAACAATCTTAAACCTTACAAACCAACCACTGCTCTTTTAATACATATTTGCTTTGTACTAACCACTCATGACACCATGGGATTTCTGTATCATTTTCCTCATTAGTGTACACTTTTTAGACCATCTTTATACTATCCTCAAAGACAAAATATGAACAAAGGGGGGAAAGTCACAAAAAAGTGTAAGCTCTGTCTTCAACAGTATGTCCAGAATGCAGACTGATGTGCTTTCACAATCTGATACAAAACAGAATTCATAAAGACCGTATGTTCTATGCCTTCATCACATCTTCTTAAAACCACAGGAGTAAGGCAACTTTCTTAGCCCACATCTACTATACATATTTGCTGCTGTCACTTCATTGCCTTTAACAAGGCCTCAAACATTTTCTAGCCAAAAGAATAAAGTTTTTTCCACTAATAGGTCTTCAGTGAAATCCATTTGGAATCCAACTCACAATACAGTAAGCTGTATGTCTTGGTAATCCCCCCCCCCCCCCCCCGTGGTACTGGGGATTGAACTCAGAAACCTGAGCTTGCTGGGCAAGTACTTATTCTACTGAGCTATCTCCCCAGTGCTTGGTAAAATTTTTGTATAACAATATCTTAGTTTTTCCCCTGTATCATGAATTCAGTTTGTTTTTTGGTTATAGAACAAAGGTGTTCTTTTTCAATTATTTAAAAAACTAATCAGATGATATTACCTACCCAAAATATTGGCCCTAGATTTCTAGAATGCTATATGTTATTTAAGACAATCATCCACTTTGTTAAAACCTAACAACAACAACAAAAGTTTCCTAAACTGATATCTTAAAATTTATGCAACCTACAGACAGTGATTTTACCTCAGGCCAATGTGGAAGCTGAAAGAGAACTGCATTTAAATCTTCAATGGCTGCTTTAAATTCCTGAAGACCAGCATAAGATTCTGCTCGGTAAATTTTCAGAGTCAGGTCCCTGGGCTCTGAAATAATATTTTGCAAGAATACAATTATTTTAGATATATAATCCACAAAATATTGTCATACTAGGTTAAGAAATGAGTTGATTTCAGAGTTAGTAGCCCACTTGAAGTTCACAAACTAAGAACAGATAGGTACAACCCTCTTACATGCTGAATCTTATCTAGAAGTTTTCTCAAATTATGATAAGCAGAATATTTTGCTGGAGGGAACTACTATTTTTTTTTGGGGGGGAAACTACTGTTTTTAAGAATACTAGAAATATATTTATACAATGAGTACCCATATGAAAAATAGTATTTTAAAAAAGAGTAACCTATAAAGATTTTAAAGCCATGTCTTAAATGTTTAAAGACATGCTAGATTTTTAAGGTAAATATTATGCTTTTTATCCTAATGTCTAACTCCTCATTTATAAAAATGGCCTCTATTTACATGGCAGTCTCACAGTAACAACGGCCTACCAAGCCTCCATCTAACAAGGGATATGGCTTTAATTCCCAAGGAAATGAGCTGATCACAGTCAGCTTCTAAGAGGTCAAAATTTAATTCCTGCAATTAGCATGAATGGCATTAGATTATCTCAAATACACTTATTTTCAAATACTTGGGAAAAACTCAGCTGTTAATTTTATTACCTTCTACATTTGTACTTGAGGAAATAAATTATTGGCCAATGATATTAAGAATATCAGGGCTGGAAAGATAGCTTGGCAGTCTAAGCATCTGCCTGGCAAGTGCAAGGACCCAAATTAGATCCCTCGTACAGCATGCCCTGCTGGCCCTGGAACCCCAAGCGCACCATGCCAACCCTGAAATCAGGCATTGTGGTGTACACCTATAAGCTCAGCCTGGGGAGGCTGAGACAGAAGGATCACTATGAGTCTGAACTACGAAGCAAGACTCCGTACCAAATCAATCAATTAATCAATCTAACAATTTCAGACACTAAGATGGTTCGATTATAATGCTCTAGTCAATTTCAATAGGTACACTGACCCTACCATTGAAACCTAACAAAAAAGTAAAGTTTCAGGATATCTACAGATTATATTAACTTCAATCTTCTCTTAAAGTTATCTTGGAGGCTATCAAAAAACTTAATTTATAAATCAAAGCATTCATTGTAAAAAGGGCATAAAGACCCTTAAGACCTCTAAAAATAAATTTAACAAAACTCAATAGTGCATTAGCCCTTAAATGACTGGTTTGCTACAGATAATGCTGGCATTTATCTAAAAATTAGTTTTCAGTTTCTGGTGCCTGAGAACTGGAATTATATTATTTGCTCAATTTTATATCAATTAAAAGATTTTATTTTATTTTATTGAGAAACAAATATCAATGAGACAGTTTCAAAGCTGATTAATAGGACATTTTCAATAATTAATATATTGTACATTATTATTTTCTTAGTGGTTATCCATAGTACAAGAAGCAGGCAGGATATCCTGTCCAAACACTATTACTACAAATCTTTCTTCTCATTGAATTAAGCGAAAGTTGCTGTATATCTATCCTAATTATTCTGCATATACAGATACAAAATGGTCCTTCCCTTGTATCCCCCTTTTTTTTGTTTAGTCCTGTCAGAGATGGGTATTCCATTGGCATCTAAATACTATAGGTGCCTGAATTCAGCAAAACAATCCAACACAGTCCAGCAGTCCACAACAGTAGTGGGTTATCCGCAGAAGTTGTTGACTAGAGCCTTTTACAGCTCAGTATATTAATATGGCTTTACTTTATATACCTTGTTTTTATACTTTTCTGCTGGATGGTTAAGACCAAGATAAAGCAAGACCTATAAAACAAGAAATGTAACTTTTGTATCTGATAAGGTCAGTCAAGTCCCCTCAGGATTTATCCTGTAACCCTGTACTGCACTTTGTAGATCCTGTGTCAGTGTCAGCCATGTGGATGAGTCACGGCCATTGCTTGACCAATTTGCTCTCTGTGAAAGCCTGACAGAAAGTTTTCTCTCCATGTGACTCTCCCCAGGCACATTATACATCATCAATCACATTCCTCTGTGGCTCCATAATCTCCCTGATCAGAAAATTTGGAGCACAACTGAGTAACATGCTGTTACAGTACAGGTTCTCCTATTTCCACAGTCTTCACTGAATGAAAAGATTTTTTAAAAGAACACATTAATGTTTTATGAGAATAAACATTCCTCAGTACACACACACCTAGAACATTGTCTTTTGTTTCTTAAATTAAAAATCATTATTTCTGAACAAAAAATAAATAAAAATGAAAAGTTTGACATAAATGAAATAATCAAGAATTAAAAGTCTGTAGCACAAAGTTAGACCCTGGAGATGCCAAAACTATTTTACATTATTCTTGTCTTTGTGGAGCTTACAACCTAGCTATGAAATAGTACAATATAACACTGACTTGTTAGGCACAATTGAAGATCAGAAAACACAGTGGTCAAAACAGAGTCAAAGAATGAGTGGTATCCATCAATGGGCATCTGACATGAACACACACTTCTCAAATAAAGACAAATGGCAAATAAGTACGTGAAAAACTGTTTAACATCATTGGTCATTTGAAAGATGCAAATTAAAACAACACTGTGATTCCATCTTACTCCAGAAAGAATGGTTATCATCCAAAAATCAACCCATAACCAATGCTGCAGGGGCTGTGGGTGGAAAAAGAACTGCTTCTCCCCTGTTGGTGGGAGTATAGATTGGTGCAACCACTACGAAAATCAGTGTGGAGATTCCTCAAAAAACTACAACTAAAGGTCCCATTCACCTCAGCTATTCCCCTTCTAAATATCTTCCCAGAATTAAAAACATCACACCACATGATACATGTGCACCCATGTTTATAGCAGCACAACTTGTAATAGCTAGCTCCTGGAAAAAGCACAAATACCCATGAACCAAAGAATGGATAAAAAAAGATGTGAGTTTACTCATATGTGTAAGCATTAGTGTGAGAAACTGAACAAGTAAGTAAGATCCAAAATATACAACAGAAATTATAAATTGGTAAGAAACTAAAAACTGTGATGGGAAGAAAGAAAGAAAGAAAGATAGATAGATAAAAAGAAAGAGACAGACAAGTATACTAATACACAAGATAGTTATAGTTATATGGCTAGTTCCTTAGTTCACTGAAAAGGTCTGTGCTAATATTCTCTGGGCAAGATATCATGCCTGTATCTTGTATTTTGAATAACTACTATGAATAATATACAATGTATTAATTGTTGTAACTCTACTAATCTGTTTTGAAACTCTGTTAATTTAATTTTTTGGGTACTGGGAATTGAACTCAGAATCTTGCCAGACAGGTGCTATGCCACTGAGCTATATCCCTGCCCCACCTTTTTTCTCTTAGCACATTAGCATCAGAACTCTGGGGCAGGACTGCAGTTTTCTACTCTCAGCTCAAGGACTTCAACATCCCCAAGACACAGGCTCCACTCTACCAAAAGGGAGTTCACTGTGGAAACAAGCCACCCAGTCCCTTTTGGACTCCTGACTCATCTTTATTTTAATTATTTTTCTCCTTGCACTAAGTTACCGCTGTTCTATAATTGGCCTAGTGTACATTCAGAAGCCAAATATCTACCTTATTCTGTGGTCTTACCTGTCTGTCACCTCTCTAGGGCACCACTGAAAGAGGTGCCTGAGACGATGTCTTTGGAAAAAAGGTTACTTTGGAAAAAAAGTTAATCCTTAAAATTGATGAACATGCTAATTACCTTGACTAAATCACTGCACAAAAGACATCAAAATATACTTTATCAGTATGTCAATTATTGGCCAGCCAGATAGCTCTGTGGACTAAAGCACCTGCTTAGGCAGAGCCCAGCGTGCCATGCTGGCCCCACCCCTGGGGTGTGCTGAGACTGCAATTGAGATTGGGCGTGGTGGTGCGGGCCTGTAATCCCAGCACTTGGAAGGCTGAAAACAGGAGGATCACTAGGAGTCCGATCTATGTAGTGAGACCCTGAACACCCTGTAGACCCTGTACTAAATACATAAAAAAAATTATATGTCAATTATTAAGCAGCAAAAAGTCAGAGATATAGTTCAGTAGCATAAGCACTGCCTGGCAAGCACAAGGTCCAAAGTTCAAACCCCCAGTACCACAAAAAAAAAAAAAAAGTATTCTTGATTATAACCAAAGTAGAAAATGGGCTTTCTACACAGAAATGTTCAAGCCGCTGATGCATTTTAAATAATGTCCTTAGAAGTCAATATTGGAGTCAGAAGGTGCACACCCTACAATGAGATCAAAAGGCAGAATTTAAAATACTCGCTCAACTCTTTATGGGTAATGCTTTCACTGAACATTTCAAATGTGAATGGAAAAATCATCCTGAATGGCTCTATCAGAAAACTATATTAGTTTATAAAAGAGATCAGAACCAACCCATGTATTTCAAATCCTTCTTAATTCTTAAAAGGAGTCAAATGTACTAACTGAAGCCCTTTAAATACTCTAAGGATACAGTGTATATCTGTCATCCACAGAAACTTTAAAGAAAGGTGACCAAAAAAAGCAGTCAGCCCCAGCTATGTCATTAAGTCAAGTTTGAGTCAACAATATTCATTTCCTGTCTCTACCTGACCTTGAGGGTTGTGGAGTACACAATTCCTCTCACTATTCTGGTCAGCTGGGAGGATTGGCCTGGGCAACTATGACAGGTACCCCCAGTGCCTAGCTATAGCAAGTGCCCAACACACTGTATATTTCATTTGTTGAAAAAATGAAAAATACAAAGATGACTGGTTTGAGCTAACCATATTATGTCTTCTTCCTTTGCTCACAGACTCCTTCCTTATCATACTATTCCTTACTCAGTTCTCTTCTTTGGATAACTTCTCCATCCAACAATATTTTAACTCACCAATCTCTTCCTAAGATGCTTTCACTAGCATCTAGCTTGCCCAATGCATGGCACAGATCAAAAGTGTGAGCCTCAATATCAGCACGCCTAGCTTCAGGGCTGGGCCTGTTCACTTAC